TCCATGTCATCTGGGTTTCTTTGGTAAATGAATTATATTTTCTTGAATAAATACTTACCAATAACTTAGTGAATAAATAAAGGCCTAGATGTGTGAAAAGTCTAATCTAATTACACAATTTTGCATCAACCTAGTAATCTCACAAAACTTTACTCCATATTCTTTAATAGAATCTAAAACAATGCTAACTAATGGAAAAGCTCTTTAGCGTTAGTTTTCTTTGTGAAATTACTGTTTGATATTTATTTAAAAAATAATATACCTTCCATTTTAGTGCTTTATTGACATTCTTGAAGCCTCAATTATCAGAAAATATTTATCTTCAGAAAAGTTTTTAGTGACTAACATTTGGTCTTGTGTAATGTACTACAATAAAAATTTTGAAGTCATAAAGAGGAAACAGTTCCCAGGACATGAATTTTCAAATTATGTGAATCTGGACAGAATAAGTTTACTGTTGTCAAGAAGATAATATTATGTTTGAAAGTATACTTAATCTTTTCTAAGAGAGAAAACTATTCTCAGTATCAACGAGAAAGAAAAAGTGATGTCACTAATGACTGTGTTTGCCTAATATTACAGAGATACAACTTATTGGTAAGCTAGCAGTATTAACTCTACCAAAAGCTACTAGATTCTTGAATGATTTCCAACTATCTATTTTACTAGAGCAGCATAGTAGTTATTCTGTTAGGAATATGAATTGTACATGCTTATTCATATTCATGTACATGCTTGTACATGCTTATTCCATTTCACAAAGGATAGTAGTCAATTAAATTTCCCATATGTCTAGATAGCTACATAATATCCACTTTCTACAAGTACAATATTTTACTAAAATTACTATATATTTCTAGGTTTACTTTTGAAAGTCCTTTGTCAAGATTAAAATTTCTCATATGCACACACACAAAAAGGCTTGAAATGAGAAAGCCTCCATGTTAAAATCAGCTTAAAAATATCATTGTACACAAAGAATGTCAATAGTATTCTAAATGTTTCTTTTAGTAATAAAACTTCATTGAATACTTTACTATGTTCTAAGAAGGAAAAACTTACAGATGTAGTTGGAAAGTAGAGTTGTTTTTATTTCTACACACCTCAAACACCCATTTTATAAGAAATGGCAATTTTACTGTGGTTTGGCTTTAAATTAGTGCTGGGTGAATAGTTCAGAGGGTGAAAAAAAAAAGAAGCCCCTTAGGCCATCTTGATTTAATTTGCAAACCTAAATTTAAATAGAAATATGTAGAAACAAACCTACATTTAAATGGGATGGGTATGAATTATTGGAGATCTTAAAACCTGAAATATTTTGATTTAGCATAAAAATATATGTACCCTATTATTGTTATATCCTGATAATATTTCATCCAAGATAGCTATATTTTCTGTAAATTTATTGATTGATTTTAGAATCTTCTTCATTTGTATTATTGAACTTGACCTAAACACCTATGCTTGATTAGATTCTTTGAATAATTACTTTTAAAATAGTCACTAATTAAGTTATTAAATATTGATAAAGAACTAAATTTTAGCTCCGCTTTGCTTCACTTCTTATATTCAAATAATGTATGCCCTTATTTTAGTAGTATTTTAGTTTATTCAGTGTGCATTTTCTCCTATTTTAATGGATTCAACAAAAATCTTAAATCATTTCTTAAAGACACCTTATCCATGGTATATATTCAGCAATAGAATTTTAGTCCTTGGAGTGATCTCAGTTACCTTCTATTTCAGCTGACACATTTGAGTGATAGTTTTTATTCCAGTTTCTATACAACAGAGATACAAACAAACGTAAAATATAACAGATTTGTGCATTTGGAACTAGTCATATATCTTTTCTAAAAAGGATCCATTTTTAATTTCATACGAAAAACTGACATCTAAGACTGTAGAATCATGTGTAAAAGAAAAGTAAATTGACCTGAGTAAGGGACTTAAGGACTCTTCTCAGAGCTCAGCTGGGTGGTCCTCACTTAGGGTCTCTCCCATGTTTGTCCTGACTTCAACTACCATCTTCTGAGGGTTTACAGACTCACAAGTCTCATGCCTAAGCTAGGAAAACTCAAATCACCAGAGCAACTTCTGTGTTTCTGTGTGGTCTCTCGGCATTGTCTTTCTGGCTATCTCTTCAGGGTGACTGGACTCCTAATTTGTTGGCTCAGATCTGTCAAGATGTATCTCAAGAGAAAACAACAGAAGCATTATTTCCTAATCTAGCCTCTAGAAATCTCACAGCCTCATTCTTTCTATTAGACATGAGTCACTGCCCAGCTAAAACTGCAGGAGAGAGGAGAGAATTCAGCCCTATCTTTGGTATGAAGGTTATTTTAAAACCATCACAGTGGTTTCAAGGCAATGTTTTTAGCCATCTAGGAACTGTTTATATTTTTTCTGTGGCTCGTGGGGGCTCTTTGAATATGAGGTTGCTATAATAGATTAGGAACCTCTGGGTAAGTGAAGTTTCACTGTGCATGTGACTAAAGTAGTATGCAAGAATCTGATTTCCAGGATTGAAGATAAGAATTTATTTTTCTCTTAAGGACAGCTTTCCTTCCAGGGAACCCTACCTGGAAACCTGCTTACTTTTGAGAGATGATTATTTCTCCCACTTTCTAGATGTAAAACGAAATCAACATTTTGCTCATTTTCTGGGACTTCAGCAAAATTCATTTTTTCTTACCTAATTTTTCTTTGGACAAATAATGACCATGATTTAAATCATCTCTTTGTATGATAAATAAAATATAATTATAAAATTATGTCAAACTTACATAATAAAGTTAATAATATAAATGTAATAAAATAATATAATAAAACATGATTTTCCATATTTCAGATCTGCCATGGAATAGGGAGGAATGTCTATTTATGAAAAACTAAATGAATGAATGAATGAAGAAAATTCTCTTCTCCAAACATTCTTTTTCATGGCTCATTCTCCATAGTGTCTTTTCCTTTTGGACTATAGTCCTTGTTAGGTTTCTTCTGTCCTTTAAAAATCAAAGCAAGTGAACAAATTCTCCCTAGACCCTGGCATCTTACCTATAGCTTCTGCCTCATATCTCTTCTTGCTCTCTAAGTGTTAAGAAAGTAACCCCCACTTGCTTTGCTTTCTCCACTTCTTTCCATTCATATATTTAACCCTCAGTGTTCTGATTTCTCTACCTATCATTGATTAGAAATTGCACTTAATCATGAATCAGTACTTAGCAAATCTCATCATTCTCTATGACATTTGACCTCATTTCCCATTCTCTACTCCTGAAATTTCTTATCACTTCTATAATTTAATCCTTTAATTTATCTGATACCATTTTTCCTGGCTTCTTACACTATCTCATTGTGGTTTTTTCCCCCTTCAGTTTTTATAACCAGAGGATTTTCTATTCCTCTTCTCATTCTATGTCATATTCCTGAAGAAATTAATCTCTGGGTGAAAAACTTCAAAATTCGTATCCTCAGAGCATAATTTTTTCTCTGGAACCCTAGTCAGATAGCACTACTCTCTACTTCTGCAGTCCCCAATCCCCCCAGCTGCAGACCAGGACTGGTTCGTGGCCTGTTAGAGATCAGGCTGCAGAGGTCCCCCACCCTTCCCATCCACAACCCTCCCAACCCCACCTCTGTGGAAAAGCTGTCATCCATGAAACCTGGGTGGGGGGCACAGCAGGAGGTGAATGGAGCGGCCTGGGGTGAGTAAGGGAAGGAAGCTTCATCTGTATTTCCAGCGCTCCCCATTGCTAGCATCACTGCCTAAGCTCTGCCGCCCCTTCCCCCCCATCTCCCCCTGGGAAAAGCTGTCTTCCATGGAACCAGGCCCTGGTGCCAAAAAGTTTGGAGACTGCCGCTCTACTTGGCATATCTGCCCTCTTATTACATCACCCCTGAAATATGCTTAGAAAAACATAGACACACACTTCTGTTACAACAATCTATTTCCCTTTTTGTGTTTCCTTTCTCCCAATCTGTTAACATGATTAGTCTCTACCTTTACTTTCCCTTACCACCTACTTCCAGATATTTATCCACTTTTAGTAATTTAAATACCAAAACATCATTTCACTGTCTGCTCTTTTCCAACCTCATAGCTCTCTCTTTAGGTTGTGTTCTCTGATTCCATTCCATTCCCAGCACTGTCTTCTTCTCTTGGCATGCCCAGAGTGCTGTAATTGTGGTGCCAAGATTGAGCCCAGGTCTACCTGGCTCTGTTTCTACCACCACATTGACTAGACCACCTGTTTTTCAAATTAATAGCAAGTTGGATGCTAAACCAAGGACTTGCAAAATTATTTCAGTAATCACTTCACTGAGATAATTTAATCAGTAATATAAATTATTTAAAAAGTATTAGTTACCCTCACTTTATGTTATGTATAAAAATACGTTTATATTTATAGGAATCAAATTCAGTAATCATTCTTGTATTCAACAAGAAGTTATTAATTATGACAGACACAGAAAATAGGCCAAAGTTATGGGCATTATTAATAACTGGAACATGCAACTCACAGTCTCATGAAAGAGATAGATGTGTAACCACATACTTACATTGCAGTGTAATAAGTGGCAAGCAGAGGAATACAACAAAGCTTTAAGAGCCCCAAGAAGGGAATAGCATACATCTAAGAGAATTGAAAAGGTGTCACAGAGAAATTATTTTATACAACTGGATTGTGAAGAAAGAGTAGAGTCTTGTCTAACAAATAATTGGGAGGAGGATGTTTATACATAGGAAACAATGCCAGCAAGAATTTATGACAGAGAACAGTGGGACCAAGGACTTTATGCATGTGGGAATTTGTTGAATGTGTTTAGACAGGGGAGTCATTTAGGTATATTTGTGTTCACTTAGGTACTTATAAACATTTGTGGGGGGAATTGGAGGAGTAAGAGATGGAGGTGAGGAGACTGATTTGGAGGCCAGAGAAAAAAAATCTAGGTGACTTTTGAGTCTGGTGGGAACCCAAACTAAGTTGTTGACTTTGCAAAGAAGTAAGAAGGAAAAAAATATAAGAACTGATCAACACTATATTCTGAAGAAATGTCTAAACTCTACATGTGCACGTTGCATTTTTGTTTTAAACTGTAGACATGGGATGTAGAGCTGGAAAGGTCTGCAGAATCCTGGGCGGAAACATGTATGTGGGAACATGGGCCTGCAAGCTTGCTTCCATCAATTGGGCAGAACTTGGGAGCACACTGGGGAAGGTATCGTAAAGCACAGCTTTTTGTTTCTGAAAAAATTAATATTTGAATAAAATACTTATTAATTCATCATTGCAAATTTGCAAAAACTTGGTACCCGAAAGAAAAACAAGTAATCACCAAATAACAGCAACAAAAACATATCAGAATACTCAGCAGTTTTTTACTTATTTTTATTTTAAATCGTTGATATATTAGTAATGTAATAAGCATAAATATTTAAGATTAGTAACTTACACAAAAATATCTTTCTTCCATACTTTACCAATCTATTTTGCAATATTTGGTTTTACATTTTCTCCAACATAACTTGCTCTTTGTGGTTCTTTTCTTCCTTAGATATAGGCCCCCAACGTTTCATGTACAGGCATGGTATGATGAAGTGAGAGATTTTACTTATCCATATGAACATGAATGCAACCCATATTGTCCATTCAGATGTTCTGGACCTGTGTGTACTCATTATACACAGGTATGTTTTGGGTGTATTATACACCATTTCTCCAAATTGAGTTAGTGTAATTGTGGGTGAACTTAAGCTACTGAGCTTGTGTCTTTCTTATGTCATTTGATATGGTTATTAAAAAACAATAACGTATGGTTATTGATTATGTGAAATAGGCTTACAAATTTCTATAAACAATAAAAGTAATTATTAAAAAGCCCAAACATCTACTTTAAAAGACATTATTTCCAATATTTTCCATAAGAAACATTTTAGGTATGGCCCCAATGAATGTATATGGAGAGAAATTTATTATTTTCAGAGTCTAAGTTTTATTCCAAAGAATAAAAATATAGTTTTTAGTTACCAGTTATATTCAATCTTTACACATGTGCAAGATTTATATATTTTTTCATATTTAGTGTTCACATTTGGTATGTTCTAAACAAATTAAACAAAGGCAGATTCAACTAGCTAAAGGTCAACACTGATCTGAGTTTCTAGAATTTCTATGACCTGTGATCAGTGAATGTAAAGCAAATATATCATTGTGTATGTTTTTACATGTGACAAGAGTAAGATCAGCATCAAACTACCTAAAAAACACTGTCACAATGAAAAGATAGTGTTGTATAAGCAATTTGAACCCTTCAATTTCTGTTCCACTACTTTCAGGATGTGAAATTCTGTTTCTTGGTAGGGCAAGTTTCTTCATAGAAATTTTAATTTGATGTTTAGGTTTGTGACAATGTAACTTTTTAAGTACTCAGTAAACCTGCATTTGAAAATGCTTACATTTTATGGCCAGATGCAGTTATTTACCTGTAGATCTCTTTCTTAAGATGAATGAGGTACTACCCAAAGTTTCCAGAAAAAATGCCCTTTTTGATACTGCCTTAGTTCATTTTGAATGATAAATGTTGGTTTCTCAAGTTCAGATTTTATACGTTTTCCCCTCAGATATGTTGTTGTCTTATTTCATCTCAACCTGCTTTTTCTGAGCCTTTCTTTTCTCTGATGCAGGTGGTGTGGGCAACCAGTAGCAGAATAGGCTGTGCCATTAATTTGTGTCATAACATGAACATCTGGGGGCAGATATGGCCCAAAGCTGTCTACTTGGTGTGCAATTACTCCCCAAAGTAAGTAGACAAAACACTGCGTTCACACGTAAATTTTTCTTGACAATATGAAAATAACTTTATGTTCCTGATTTTTTCCCATTTTCAGTGTGTGTTGTTGAGTAAAGTGTATTGCTTTAATTCAGTTTATTTAATATGACAACATTTATAGTTACCTAATATATAAACAATGCTTAAAGGGAATATGAAATTTGAAAATATGATCTTTGTGAAGAAGGGAATCATATTTTTTAGTTTTACCCATTGATCTATACTATTCCATAAATATTTAATAAATTTGATTTATTAGATATTGACAACTGGGAAATGTATTTTCATCTGTGTAAAGACCATTTAAGTGATTACATCGAAAATACTATACAACCAGACTCAAGATTGAATTTAAGTCTAAGATATGTTTTTATTAAAACAAATGGGATATAGGTGAATATATAGCAGAGTTTGGTTTTCTACAAAAGTTAGATTTTATAGGTTTTGACTATATATATGGCAAATTACTTTGAAAAGTTTCAAAAGAATGAGGCATTAATTTAAATTTAAGCCTAGTCACCAAAAGAACTCTGTACTAAAATAAATAAATGTCTTAAATCTCCACACAAAATCATTACTTATATTAAAATATAGTGTTATTTTGCATTACCTTAAAAATTATGCTGTTAGACTGCCCCTTGACATTTAGGTTTGTGAGGATGTAACTTTTGAATTATTTAGTAAGTTTCTTAATCATCTCTTAAAGGGGAAACTGGTGGGGCCATGCTCCTTATAAACATGGACGACCCTGTTCTGCTTGCCCGCCTAGTTTTGGAGGGGGCTGTAGAGAAAATCTATGCTACAAAGGTAGGTGCTTTTGTATTGTAATATTCACTTTGATTTATATTATAATCCAGCTTCCACATTACTTGTGTTAAAAAAGTCAAAGTGCACTTAATTATTACATGAAAAGCTTCTAGAACTCTTATTTCAAATATTTTGAAAAACCTTTTAAAAATACTTAAATTATTACGTGTGTTATGCCAATATGAGTTTAAAAGAAAATTTCACGATTATTTCCAATAACTACTTCTAATTCTACTTTGAAATTACCCCAGAGTGACAAGTATATTGATATTTTTAAAGGTCATCTTGTATTGCTGACTAGAGTTATTTCCATAACTGTCATCATTTTTGAAGGATTTAGCAACTTACCACACTTTTTAGCACTTTAAAAGTTTTTGCCCAAATACCCTGTTGTATATCTTATTGAACCATGCTCAATGAATTGTACTGATTCTACACTTACTGCAGACTGTGTAGTTTTTCATGCTAAAATAACAAGAAAGTATAATAGTAATGTAAAACTGTTATAAAAGTAGTGCCCTCAAATGCATTTGATGTCTTGAAAAGTACATATAAATACAGTGTCCTATTTATAGCCTGTAAACTGTGTTCGACAAAGCTTTGTGAAAAGTCATGCTCTTGGGCATTCAAGTGAACATTATTTACTGCCTTGTACTTTTTTCTTCATGATTATTAAATGGGGAAAAATGTCGAGTAAATGTATCAGAAAATATTTGAATAATTACAGCTCTTTTTTCAGTGCTCATAATGAGATACGTCTCTTTTTTTTCCCCTAATGACTGAATGCTCATTAGCTATAATGAGTAGACAAGAAATATTCAGATATGTCCCTCTGTTGCATAAGCCATTTTTAAATTCCTGGAAGCATTTGAAGCATCTTTTCATTGTATCAGTGTCTGTGCCAAAACCTCCAGCCTACCTGCTCCTTCACCAGTGGCCACTATATTTTATTTAAAGCTGAATTTCCTCTGCTTCCGATTTCATACTTCCTTTTTTTCTAGGTTCTGAGTTCTTAGGCACACATGAAAATAATACCCCTCTCCAAAATGTGCCACTGTCAAGCCCTTGCTATTGGTCAATCTGGAAAAAAATTAAATTCAAATTTGAAATTATTCTCCATTATCAAGTTTAAATTTCTGCACATTGAATTTCCTTCTAAAAGAGAAAAACCTTTCCATAGAAATGGATATTGTAGTAAATAACAGGCATAACGATCCTTCTTTAGACCAGATTTCCATTTGGGAGAATTTTAAATGTGATTCTTCTGAAAATATTAAGAATACAATTTCATTTGAGAATACAAATGCAATTTTACTAAACCCCAACTTTATTAGATCGCTGTGTAGATTTCATAGTATCATTGTGAAAACAAAACACTGGTAATATGTTGAAATGTAAGCAAAGCTAGCTTAAAGGTGACTCCATTAAATATTAGCCAAACATTAACATAAAAGCAGCAAGGGTTCAAAGGCTTATGTGTGCATTTCATTTACTCCAATGCACTGCTTTTAAGATCACCACCTTAAGCCAAAACCTGTGCCAAAAACAGTACCACTTTTTCTAGTTTTAAATGTTAGATGGGAATATCAAAGTCTATCATTATCTGATAATTTCTGCAAATACAAAATGGCATTAATATTTCCTAAATCTGTTTTCTCTAACAGAAGGGTCAGATAGGTATTATCCTCCTCGAGAAGAAGAAACAAATGAAATCGAACGTCAGCAGTCGCAAGTTCATGACACCCACGTTCGGACAAGATCAGATGATAGTAACAGAAACGAAGTAATAAGCACCCAGCAAATGTGTAAGACCTCTGCATTATTTATAAAAATTATATGGCATACCCATCAAGATAATAGTAATTTGAATATTTTTAGAATGGACAAAACCTATTACAATATATATAACAAATTACAGCAGCTTTCATATTTTCTAAGTTATTCTGGTGTTTTTTTTTTCCTTTTAGCCCAAATTGTTTCTTGTGAAGTAAGATTAAGAGATCAGTGCAAAGGAACAACCTGCAATAGGTAATATTTATTATTATTCTGAAAATTAGCTGATAAAATATAAAATGTTTTTATTTTATATTGACATTCCGAGAAACTAAATTTTGTTCCCAATTACTTTGATTTAGGTATGAATGTCCTGCTGGCTGTTTGGATAGTAAAGCTAAAGTTATTGGCAGTGTCCATTATGAAATGGTAAGTATTACAAATGTAACTATTTGGTTCCATAAAATATTTGATTTTTTCATATGGAAAAATAACAACCTATATAATATAGATATTTTGCTCAGAAATGGTTAATTTAAAGTCTCATAAGTAGTAAAAGGCTGTGCCTTATGCAGAAGCCTAATATTTTAACATCCTTTTATCTCCTCCTTTTCTCCAAGCAATCCAGCATCTGTAGAGCTGCAATTCATTATGGTATAATAGACAATGATGGTGGTTGGGTCGATATCACTAGACAAGGAAGAAAACATTATTTCATCAAATCCAATAGAAATGGCATTCAAACAATTGGGTAAGTACCTAAAAGATCTTTTAGACTAAGTGGGTTTAAATTGTAACAACGAGCCAACACATTCTTTCAAAGGAAAGCATAGAAGAATTGAATTTAAGAAGAGAGAAGTTGGTAATTTTCGAAGTTCATTTTAGCTTAATATCCATAGACAAAAAAAAGAAATAGCATCTAAATTCAAAGTTGAACGCTTTTGCTTGTAAATAGGTGCTAAAACTCCAAATTTTCAAATTTAAGTAAAAATGTATAAATCTATAGTTAATTCCCAATGTAAAGGAATATACTTTTTAGCAATGTCAGAAAATGCCCTACAAAAGACTAATTTGCATATTCCTTCCCTGTTTAGGGAAAATGGCTTATTTTATACAACAGTAACTTTGTTAAATTACTCTTAAATGTAATAATGGTAAATTACATTAATGGGTGAAAGAGCATTTTGAAAAATTATCTAAATATATAATATGCTATATCATACTTTTATTCATATAAATGTAATTTAACTTAAAAACATTTGTTAGCTTTTAAAATATTTTACATATTAAGTATACCATATATCTTATTCTAAAACACTGCATTTTATATGTATTCTACAGAAAGTAGAAAAATACAGGCATTTGAAATGTTATTATAGTGCCTCTTTTCTTCTAAGTAAAAAAATAAACATTATTGAACCTCATATGGAATGACTTTTCTTAGGATATATGACACAGTTTCTTTCCTTTGTAACTATACAATTGCATGAAACTCCACAGTGGGGTTAACTATAATATAAAAAACAATTTATTACAAACTGGCAAATTTGTGGAATGACTTCCTATGTATACAGTTTTGTTCAAAGGCTTGATATGTGGTTTTCAGCCATTAGCAATAACTCTTAAAAGCTTTATATACATGTTTATTGATTAACTCATTCATTCAGCTAATGTTTATTAATTACTTTCAGTAAATAATAAAGATTAGTTATTAGTTTCAATAAGCCAAGCACTATATTAAAGAACATTTATCCTATTATTTATTTTTTTCTCTTAAACTTATAGAAACTTTCTTAAAATTTAAAGGCTATATTTAATAGATTGTATATTTTGTGCCTCAAAGAATGTTATTTCTTTTGGACACATTATAGATGGTGACTATTATCATAATAATGAATGTGTTATTATAGATTAACATAAAAGTGTCTACCATGTTAAAGTACCATCATAAATAAGCCTTACCTTTTACAATAGATGGTTTTTCTAAAAATCTGGGTATTCATGAACCAATTAATATTTTGACATATTAAGGGTACCTAACCCTATATTTCTGTTTTTTAATAATGCATATAATGAGGAGAAGGTCATTCTTTTATTACAGACATTTTACTTGATACTAGGGCAAAAAAATGAATAATGTATACCCCCTTAAGGTACTTATTATTTTGTAGTCTTTTTTACAACACTGCCTTGTATTTACTATTGTGAAGGATTAAATAGTTTGGCTCTGTGAAGACAGGGAGTTGGTATTTGAGAATTTTAATTTTGATAGAAAACACAATACATACATATATATAATATGTATTGGATTATGTTCTTATGTATAAGTTTTTGAGATTAGTAATGACAAGAACAGCCTTTAACATTAAGAATGGTATTGATTTGGTTCATATATGAAGGTGATATAGATTTAGCATAAAATTGATGATATTTTCTTATATCACTACTTATATAACTATTTTAACAAAAATATTTAAAAAAATAAAGTATTCATAGATCTGAAAGATACCAGAAATTAATGCTGATGGGTGATGCCTATAAGAAAATGATTGACATTTCTATCTTTTTATCTTCAGCAAATATCAGTCTGCTAATTCCTTCACAGTCTCTAAAGTAACAGGTTAGCACTTTTTTCATCTTATTTTCTTACAACTATATAGTATGTTATTGCTTTCAAAAGATTCACTTACTATTTTGTGTTTTAATTCCTCAGTTCAAGCTGTGACTTGTGAAACAACTGTGGAACAGCTCTGTCCATTTCATAAGCCTGCTTCACATTGCCCAAGGTAATGTTTTCTAAATTTTCTCTCTCTCTCTCTTTTTTTTTTGTGTTAGCCAGTGAACATATATGGGGCTTTGGCCCTGTGATAATTGTTTTTGCCTGAATTTCTTGCATCTCTAGGATTCAAAGTTTGTATAATCTTGAACTACTAAGCAGGAGGAAGCAGTGGAACATCTCAAACTACATGCATTCCAGGGCAGGCTTAGTGTGCTTTCCTCCAAATGCAGAAGTACTTTCTGTTAGTCTGTAATATCAGGGCTTATGAATATAACCTATATGTTTACCTGAGCTACAAAGAGTCCTGTATTGGTCTGCTTGGGCTGCTGTAACAAAATACCATTGACTTGGGTGGTGTAAACAACAGAAATTTATTTCTTCCTAATTCTAGAGTTTGGGAGTTCAAGATCAAGGTACTGGCTGATTTGGTTCTTGATGAGGGCTCTCTTCCTGGCTTGCAGATGGACACCTTCTCTTTGTGTCCTCACATGGTGGAGGCAGAGAGTTTGTTCCCTTGTATCTCTTCTTATAAGGGCACTAATCCTGTTGAATAAGGGACCCACCCTTATGACCTCATTTAGCCTTAATTACATTTATAAAAGCCCTGTCTCCAAATTCAGTCACATTGGGGATTGGGACTTAACATATGAATTTTGAAGGGACAGAAACTTTAAGTTCATAATAAATTCTTACAAAAAAACCCAAAAATGACATAACTCATATTTTTTAACATTGTTATTAAGTTTCTAAATGAGATCAATTTGAGTGTATTTGGTGAGTCAAAAAACCCACCTTTGCCTTTCTTTTATTTTTATTTTGTATTATATATTCTCTTTTATAAAATTATATTGGGGTTTATCTACTATAAAATAGTGACAAAAATATCTTGGCCAAGCTAAGATGAAAACTGTTAGAAGTATTATGGCCATAAACCATACTCAGTACATAGGAAAAGTGAAGCATGTCCCTATACTCCCAGTCTTAGTTCTGTCCACACAACTTTCAAAACCCAGTAATGAAACTTAGAGAGATAATTATAACTTTCAAACTATATTTGATAAAAAATTAAAGGAGCTTAATTTTTATGATGAAATTTATTTACTTTAGAAAAGCTTCATTACTTATCCTTCTTAAACTAAAGCAATGTTTCACAAATTAGATTGGTTGTTCACAAAGGAAATAATAGAACCTTTATAACAGAAGACCATAATGTTTATATAAGTGAGTATATAGTGCCAGTAGATAGTTTCTCAATTATATATGTAATATAAATGAATAGATAACTTGTTTCCTTTCAAAAACCAAATCTTTTTGTCTCTAATGTGAGACTCCTGTTGTAATATTTTTGGCTGGCTAACTTGATGTGTGCTGATTTGAGAATATTGAAATTACTCAGCATGTTTCTTTACTGAAATCAGATTTCAAAGTATGTAGGATAATTTTAGGATCCTTTAGTGTGTGAAATTTATCATATATTTTTTTGCCATCTGACCACAAATGAATATATGCCAAATATTTTTGTTATAAAAATATAATCTCCTGTTACTAGAATTTCATTAATTGTGGCCTTATAAGGCTTACAGATTTGATTAAATCATGGTTTCTTTTGTAATCTTAGAAAATTTTGTAGAAACTTTTTTTCAGATTTCTCAAGCCACTATACTTACAGATTTTATTTTTATGGAAAGCAGAAAACATGTATTATTAGTTGAAGCTGGTAAATCTTAGCATCATAATAGGTGGAAAAAATAGGAATTTTAGAATTACACATTTATAAATGTTTGTTAAATACCTACCTTATACGAGTACTATGCCGGGCCTTATGTTAGCCATGTAGCTAGGTTTATGGGGACAAAGTAATAAGGACAGTCTTTGTGGAGCATTCCAACATAAAACCTTCCTCAACTAAATACTCAATAAGTGGTACTTTTGTTTCTATAAAACAATTTATATCAATATTCCTCCAAAAGAGAAAAATCATTCAAGTAAAATCTTAATACACAAGTTTTCTATTTCTTGGCTTGTTCTAGGAGAGGGAACATCAAAAAAAGAAAAATGATATAAATTTTTAAAATTAGTTTTAACTTTTACTTTCACTAATAAATCCATAGAAATGATAATTTATGCATAATTTTGATCTTAAGCAGTCTGGAAAGTTCTTTTTTATTTATTTCAGAGACTAGTGAAATGGTTTATCTTTTCCTCATATAAAATTTTTGATAGTTTCTTAAATTATTTATATGACAGTTTATAACTTTTGGGGAACCATATGGTTGGTACATCTGTTTTAGAATTTCATATCACTTAAATAGGTTGAAGCATAGTCTATTCTGTAGAAAATTGATAAGAGCAAATAAATTAAAGGAAATTAGCTCAAGAAAAGCTTGAAGAAACAAGATTTACCTGCCTGGTCATGTCCTTGAGAGGTTCCATGGCTGGCAGAACAACCTAGAATAAACTATTAGTATCATAACCTTGTGGATTTGGTGTGTGCATGTATGTGTATGTGAGTTTTATTGGAAACCTTATCCTGTTTTACATATATCTATAAAAAAATTAGTCTTTAAAATCTATTGAATGCTCAAGACATACAAGTAGGTATCATTAAAATATGTCAGCCTTTTTATTCAAAGCTTAGAGGCAAAATGTAGGTAAATGAATGATTACTAGACCACCACCTACTTCCTCAGTAGTTTGTAACAAGATGTCAAAAACAGAGATTAGAACACAAACAAGCAAAACCTCCCTTAGTCTTTCTTTTAACCTGAACTTACCTAAGTAGAGACTAAATCAACTTGGAACTACTGACCTTGGCTATCTGCAAACCGAGTGCTAAATATGACACAGCATGATCCTAAAAGCAGAGCAGATGGTTTTACAACCAAAAGGTTGGCAGTGAATGCCCGGCAGTTTTCAAAACAATGAGATCATTTTCTAGCCAGAGGGGACACCCTTCCTCCTGCAGAAACCCCAGACAGCATCTTTTATACTAATCAGCCCTTTAATTCAAAGTTACAAAAATTCAGATTCTTATCACTTATATTTAAATGCTTCTGGTTTAGATGTTATGTGTTGTATATGCACTCTAGCGTGCACGATGGTATAAAGATTTTAGAAATAATAACTAGTTATTTCTTAAAAGCTATCTTAAGGAATATCTGCTTTCAATTGGCAAGTGTGCTTTCAACTGAAATGTTTTTAGAGTAGTTTTAGGAAAGTCATTGATGCCATCGTCCACCAGTGATTTTCATGTAGCTGTCATGTTGAAAGTCTCCTTTACTATGTAAAATGAATTGTGTTTTTTCAGTTTTAGTTCATATTTCCTTTTAGTGCGTGTGTGTGTGTGTGTGTGTGTGTGTGTGTGTGAATTCAAAAGAGCCGATTGATTTTTTTTAAAGTACCATTTGACAGTTTCTTAAACAGTGGGAATTGATTTTTTAACATGCCATGTTATTGATTAAACATTGATAATTTATTTATGTTTAAGTAAAAAGCTTTTGGGAACTTCTTTAAAATGAGCTAAGCCAGTCAGATGTCAGTAAGGCGGTAGGATTTCTGGAGGAAGAGCATTCCATGCAGAGAGGCAGATAAATGCAAGGGCTCTGAGGCAGGATCTTATTGTGTATGTCTGAGGAAAAATCATTAGGCCAGTGTGACTGGAGCAGGGTGAGAAAGTAGAAAAGAAGAAGTTAGGATGTAGAGTCAGGTGATTGAAGTTAGAAGCTGTAGGGCTTATTGGGCATTCTAAGGATTTGTAATTTATGTAAAGCCACTGGAGTGTTTAGAGCAGAGGAATGACATGTTTAGACTTTAATATATATGTAGAAAATAGGTTCTCGAGGGCCAAGGTGGAAGCAGGGAGATCACAGGAGAGCCTGCAGCAGTCAGTCAAACTGCAGATGACAGAGTCCAGAGTTAGCATGACTGAGCTGCTTAGGGATGCTCTGGTCTTGGATCTATTTTATGTGTAGCCAATGGAAATTGCTGATGGATTGCATGTGAGGTGTGAGATGAAGGGAGAGACCAAGGACAGAATAAAGGTTTTCAGCCTGAGCACATGGAATCATGGAAGTGCCATTTATTGCGATGGGAAGCCTACATAAAGAACAGATATGGGGGGTAAAGGACAAGATTAGAAATGGGTTTCATACATGCCACGTTTGAGGTATTCATGCGATCTAAGTGGAGATGTTGAATAAGCAGTAGGATAATACACAGTTGGAATTGAGAAGTCCCAACTTGAGACACAAACATGGAAATCAGAAGTTTATAGATGATAATTAAAACCATGGAATTGGATTAGATACCAAAGATGTGAACATAGAGAAGAGAAACTGAGATGAATGAGGCAACGATTCCGATTTTCCAAGTTGCCTGTTTACGAAATTCTGCAGACACACTGTGTGCTAAGCTCTCAGATACATAGAGATGCTTCTTGGTGTTTCTTTCTGCTTTAAATCCCCAAATCAGAAAGCTTCCTAGCTAAATTTAAAAACAAATCACATTTGTGATGGAAGTAGATAAAGTAAACAGATGCAATAGTGTCTATTGCCTGGCTTGTACAATTGACCAATTTCAGGAGAAAAAAAAATGAATAGGGTTTAGAATGTTGATTTTACTTTTGTGTATGCATGTCTGTGGTTTTACTAATAAGAAAGACTGAAGTAACCAGCTTACTTAATATATATATATATATTATTTCTTTCAGAGTATACTGTCCTCGTAACTGTATGCAAGCAAATCCACATTATGCTCGTGTCATTGGAACTCGAGTTTACTCTGATGTAAGTATCCTAATTTATACAGCTTTCAATGTGTACATGCACACTGATATATAGAACATGGAAACATGCTGATATACATATCCTCAAAAGAGTTACTCATCAATATCATTGAAAAATTAATATCCATATGTAAATCAGAATTCATAATCATTGATTTTAACTAAATTTTTTTTCATATCCTCCCCATATATTTTATGAGACAGTTAATGAAATAGTCTACAGATATTTTGGGAAAGGGAAATGTATTTTGCCTTTCATTAACCTTTCTTTTGGCTCTTTGGTATTTGAAGTCTAAACTGGACAATTAAGAATCTGTCAGATGTATGAACAGTGCCTTCACTGCCAAAGAGGCATTTAAAAAGTAGCATAGAGTCATAAACAGATATACTATATTAAAATATATACAAAAGGAAATTAGTTGAGGGGATGTTGTAGTGGATGACTTTAGTGGGATTGGACAAAGAATGTGAGCCGTGATGGCTTCAGGATGGTCACGTGCTCTTTGAACCAGGTTTGAAGTGTGGGTTGGTAAAGAGTGTCAGGGACACATTCTAGTTGAGATGAGTGGCATCTACAAGGACATGGGGGTGAGAGCGAATGAGCTGCATGGGGGCCTAGCAAATAGCTCTGCTTGTCTCTGAGCTGCTAAGAATTGGAGCTGAGAGGGGCTGCAGCCAAGTTAGTCTGAGGGATAGAGGAGTCCAGCTCTTCAAATGGGTAGATAGAATCTGAAAGTGCATGCTGGTGAGTTTAGGTTTTATGTGGCAGACATTTAGAAACTGTTTCAGATTTCTGAGCCAGAGAGTGACAAAAACAAATTTAGAAAATAGCTTCTCGATGCATGCATTCAATAGAATACTAGCCAATTTGATAGTGTAAAGAGATCTGAAATATGGGCATTACCACTTGTTCCTCTTAATGACTTCATTTAGGTCCAGTTTTTTTTGAAATTTAGCTTTAGCTTTGAAATTATTCTCATTCCAAGTCTCTCTCAAGCTCGAGGTTTATTCTTATCTGTAGTTTATCAGTGACCTTCTGGTATCTTGGCTTAGCTAGTCCTCACATTGGTGCTTATATTCTTGCCTCTGTTTGAAATAAATCCTTTTTGAAATTTTTCTGTCAAAACTATGTTCGTACTTCACATTCTAAATTATTGACGCTTTCTCTGTGAGGTGCATTGCTGGATCTCGTAACCTAAGTCTGAAGTTTTCCTTCTTTCAAACCCTATAACTTTGTTTTTTCCTTTTAGCATTTAGCCTATTTTATTAGGTATTATGATTGTTACCCTATCTCTTTTACTAGTTTGTAAGTTCTTTGAGCGCAGCAGCCAAGAAAGTCATTTATCAATTTTTCATGACTAATTTGATGTCTGCCATGCTGTAAATGAGATAGGCTTGTTCCTGCCTCTTTAGAACTTAGAGCACGCAGTGATAATCAGACATTCAGCAAGTACTTTGCGCATAAATATGTGTTGAAAAAACAAACTAATAATCGTGTGGGAATGTGCCTATCTGGAATCATCAGAGATTTCCAAAGAAACCATACTTTCATACTTTCCAGATTTTCCTTTTAAGCAGCAGATCTTTTCATTTTAGTTATGTCTGTCTTTCAGAATAGTCTATATACTTCTGTACTTTTAAGCCATCTCTTTGCTAGAATTAAAGTTTTGTCAGAACCTATATCCTGAGATCGTTTTATCTTCCTACATCAGTGAAATGGGTAGGTAATATATATTATTATGTAGGTCCTTTGAAGAGTAAGGTGGAAATGTGAAGATTGCTCTCACGTGCTAAGTACAGAGTCAGAGATTGAACCATTAATTGCTAGTCTTCCTTGCCCCTACAAAATACACTATCTCTTCAGTGAGGTTCATATGGGGAAGAGTGAGAAACAATCACCAACATCTCTCCTCCCTACCATCCTCCTCCTCCTCTTTCTTCTTCTCTCTCTGACTCTCCATTTATTGAGTTAGAACTTGTACATTTTATTACTTTGAACTTTTATTTATAGTTTACTACAGACTAAGTTAATTTCTGCATTAATTAAAATATTCTACTCCTCACAGATTAATTCTTTCTTTTCATCATATATTAATTCTTACAAAATATTCTACTCACAGATTAATTCTTTTCATCATATATTAATTCTTACAAACTGTGTATGAAAGGAAAATGTCTTCAAACCTTTGGACTTGAATAGGAATGCCTGCTGACTGCATAGTTGTAGGCAAAACAATAGTCTCAAAGCATTTTAAGTGCTTGGCTTTAGTGAATGTTATATCTAAGCACTTTTTTTTGCCTTGGGAAAAAGTGCTGATAATACCTTTTTAACAGAAGAGAGTAAATACTGAAATGTGTACAGACTTATTTTTAATTCAGTCTGTTCTGAACCATATTGGAGGCAAATTTTAATTCAGTGTGGGCCTTTCAATGTTGAATAAAATGCCTCCTCAGAGTAAAGATACAGGTTTTAGATATATGGTCTTTTCTGATATAGCAAAAGCATGAAAAGGATTAAACAGCTTGGTATTCAGGCTTTCTGATCTAATAAATACTGACTGATGCTGCAAAGTTCACAGCACAGTAATAAAGCAAGGTCACATAAGATACACATGCTTATGTGAACTTACAAAAGCATATTAAATCACCCACGTATGCATTGAGATAAGAAAAGAACACACCAGTGGTATCAGAAAAGACCCACAGGGATATGAGGCAGATTGCTTTTTACTGAGACAGTTCAGATATCTCCTTTTGTGGAATGTCCTCAGGCTACACTCTCAAGCTATTGACAGATTTTGGTAGAACATTGGATTAAAGCAAATGTTTAAATCTTGAAAAGATTTTAATAGGCCAAAAGGAATGATTTGACTTTTAGAAGTTATTTTTTGAAAAATTTGAAAATATTAGACCTGAAATAATTATTTCCTTCTCCATAGAAATCACATTCATTCAAGATAATATGACTGGTACAATATATATAACCTTAGAATGTCCCTAAGGTTCATGTCAGACCACTCAAAGCAGGGTGATTGGCACTGCAAATTTAGGTAGAAGTTATGATTGTTCTTCATTTTTTTCTTCTTAGAGTTATTCTTTTAGGCAAAAATTTTCTGCATAGATTATGTTATTTAATAGGAAATGACTTCCCATTTAATATATCCCATAATTTTGGAAAAGGAGCCATAGAAATGTACAGAACTATTGCTGAATTTATATTAGGCAAAACGAAACATAAATCAGGTACAAATAACCCAACCTTTCAACATTTGGCCACGGTGACTCCAATAGGGACTAGCAAAGGCTAAAATTTAAAAAGGACAAATAGACCCTAGAATAGATAAAAGAGGCCAGGTGCGGTGGCTCACGCCTGTAATCCTAGCATTCTGGGAGGTCAAGGCGGGTGGATCGTTTGAGCTCAGTAGTTCGAGACCAGCCTGAGCAAGAGTGAGAACTCATCTCTACTAAAAATAGAAAGAAATTAGCTGGACAACTAAAAATAGATAGAACAAATTAGCCAGGCATGGTGGCACAAACTGTAGCCCCAGCTACTCGGGAGGCTGAGGCAGGAGGTTCATTTGAGCCCAGGAGGTTCATTTGAGGTTGCTGTGAGCTAGGCTGATGTCACGGCACTCACTCTAGCCTAGGCAACAGAGTGAGACTATGTCTCAAAAAAAAATAAACAATTAAAAAATAAGAAGAGATAAAAGGAGCTGATTTGCTGTTTCTTGCTTTGGCACTCTAAAACCGTGCAATGCAGACTGGACGGGTCTTTGCTAGATTAGAGCTGGGAGGGGGCGTCTTATCACTGCAGCCTCCCTGAAGGTCTGCCCTCAGAGCTGCTCAGAATGGGCTTTGAGATTTGACTTTTGAAACATTCCTTTATGTTCAAAACATTATCCTCTAGCTGCTCACTGGCTATCAATAAAGGGACATATTTCAGTGACTTTAGTCTGGTAGAAGAATAGGCTGGGCAAGTCAAGCAGGAATTTCCTAACAATGGCAAAAATTTTTCCTTGCCTCCTCAGCTGTCCAGTATCTGCAGAGCAGCAGTACATGCTGGGGTGGTTCGGAATCATGGTGGTTATGTTGATGTTATGCCTGTGGACAAAAGAAAGACTTACATCGCTTCTTTTCAGAATGGAATCTTCTCAGAAAGGTAAAAAAACAAAACAGAACATGTAGTGGTGTGTGTGTGTGTGTGTGTGTGTGTTGTATATATATACCATCCATCTCTTTATTTATGATTGCTTTACAATGGACCCATTTTAGTAGGGGTTCAAAGTTAAGTGGCAGAGCCAGTATGTTTCCTTTGCACACATGTGTAAACAATCTTCCAGGGATGGGAGAAGCTGTAGTACCGGAGGTGCCTGTCTCCTGCTGGCTTATAAAAATCAACATGAAAATCGGATTACAAGTCAGAACCACTCTTTTGTTAATTGATTTTATAATTAGGAAATTTCTTTCATCCTCTTTTGGATTTTCTAGATTAGTTTTTATGTTTCAGTCTTTCTAGGTGAGCAAGGGACTGAATATTTCTCTAATCCAGTTATCTGATAAAGTATTTGACAAAAACAATGAGTCTGATTTTCCCTAGAACCAAGTTCTCTCTCTCTCTTTTTTTTTTTTTGTTTGTTTGTTTGGTATGGAAAGAGTGTATCTGTCAGCACAAGTTCTCTTTTTGATTTGAAGTTGGATACCTAGTATGACATGAATGAACTCTTTCAGGTCATCTCAATACAATTTAGCCTGCCAGTATTATTTATTTTAAGGATTTGAGAAAATCCATGACTCACTTTATCATGCATTAATAAATATTAAGAAAAATGAACCTATGGTGATTTTTTAAAAAATCATTAGTACTTATGGAAGTAATATTAAGTCCCATTTATTTTTATAGATACAAAAACTTTTAGATATTTTCCTGGGTTCTTCAAAATTGCCAATAGAATGTTCACATATATAGTAATTTTCTAAAGGCCATGCAGGGTATCTAGATTGCCTTCCACATAACCATCTGGGTGTCATCATCATAATAAGACAGATCTGTATTTTTCTTATCTCTGAACTGCTGAGAATTTTTCATAGGAGACTGTATCAAGAGGCCATTGTTGAGAAGGTGACTTCTCTATAACCTGGCTCATGGTCTCCTTAAGCAGATACAATATATAAAGTGAACTCCTGAGTTACAGAACCTGATATGAAACTTTATAAGCTAAATGTTGTGATATGGTTTCATTTACTTCTCATACTTCTTAAGTTTATTTTAAAATATAAAATGATAGAAGATGAGCTAGTAAAACTGAGAATAATAATTATTTTAGAGTACCTCCTATGAACATTCCAGACACTAGACACTACTGGGAACTTTAGGTATATTAACTCAGCTCCATCAACAGCCCTTTAATGTCAGTTCCATAAATCCTGATATTATATGTGTCAACTGAGGCTCAAAAAGGTTAAATGATGTGTTGAAGTTCATATAACTTGTAAAAGCTCAGAGCTCAGATCTGTGGGCTCAGAGATATGCATTTTTCCGATATATTACTGCAGAAGAAACACATCAAACACATCCACTTCCTAGGGCACTTGGTCAATCTGTTGTTGATAAATAAAAATAGCTTTATGTTGGCTATATGCTTATATGAAAAACTTGGTGTGCGTGCATGTAGGAGTGTGTGTATTTATTTTGTGTGCTTTGTGTTTGTACACGTGAGATATCATTCTTTTCTCACTTTAAAACTCTCTCCCTTTTTTTCTTATACATGAATAAATACATAAAATGGATTTCAATTTGTCACTTTCTTAGCATTTATTGTGTTAATCTGTAAAAGTCTTATTAATTATTAAGCAAATAACACTTTATGTAAAAAGGTAAAAACTTCAAATGTTTACGGTTGATTAGAATAAATAATGATGAATGGTATTATCAATGTGTTAACCTTTAAAGATTTAAAAATATACATTGATTGCTGTTGCCAAATAAAATATAAACAATTTAATAAAGAGTAAATGTTATGAGTCTGCATTACTTTAAACTTCCATTTTAAAAGTATCCCCAAAATGAGATTGAATGTTGTGTGTTTGCATTTGTTCATTTCAGCGAAGAAATGCTTAAGTCCTTTCTGATATGACCATTAAATTTCCTCACTATCATTTTTCTTGAAACTATTAAGAGTATTAATCTATATGATAGCACATTTAGGAAATGATAGCAAGCTAGACTCTAGAGTATTGCCTAAGTATCTGCAACCATTTTAACTTCTAGCCATCCCAATAGCTGTAAACCTTAGTCTCGGTATTGCCCAGGTAAAATCAAATAACAACTGCCTAACTTTGCTTTATTAAAATCAAAGAAGGTAATATATTAGTAAGATATCTAGAATCTATGAAGTTTTATAGAGACTACTATTACTACCATTACACATCTTAAATTTCTTTAGTAAATTTGCAGTCCACCATACAACCAAGATTTAAAGAATTATGTCATCCTCACTCAAGCTTTCCAATAACAATAAATTATAGTAGCCTAAGAAAGTTGACCATCTGGATTCATATTCATAGAGCTGCTTTCTTGACTGTCATAAGAAAGCATGATTTATTGGAAGGATTATTTGTGGAGATGACATCAATATATTTCTGTATTTTTTGCAGTTTACAGAATCCTCCGGGAGGAAAGGCATTCAGAGTATTTGCTGTTGTGTGAAGTGAAACACTTGGAAGAGGATCATAAAAACTATTCCAAATGCCATGTTTCTGAAGTTTGTATAAAACTGTAACATTACTGTACAGAAGATATCGACTATTTTCAGCCCAAAAAGTGCCAAATGCATATAAATCTTAATAGACAAAGTCTATGGAATAAAACATGGGACATTAGCTTTGGGAAAAGTAATGAAAATGTAATGGTTTTAGAAATCCTGTGTTAAATATTGCTATATTTTCTTAGCAGTTATTTCTACAGTTAATTACATATTCATGATTGTTCTACATTTCATATATTATATGGTGCTTTGTGTATGCCACTAATAAAATGAATCTAAACATTGAATGTGAATGTCCCTCAGAAAATCATCTGGTGCATTTAAAAAATAGTCAACTCTAAAGCTGAAAGAAACCTTATAATCACATTTTCCCCAGTCTAGTGTTATGCCATTACGTACTCCAAGTAGTCTCAAACTATTTTCCACTTAATACCTGTACAGTTTTTTCTTTTGTTAAGTTTAGTCATATAGAATATTAAGTTCTGATATTGCACTTCTTGTTTTGTATAAAATAATCCTTTAATATCCAAATGAATCTGTTAACATGTTTGATTCCTTGGGAATGGTCTTAATTAGTCAAGAGTTAGCGGTATGAAAACATTCCTGGTGATCGTGTAGTAAATATAGGGTTAAGCCTGGGCAGCCAGCGCTTTCTATGTATTGTTAAAATTGAGGTCACATATTTCCTTTTGTATCCTGGCAAATACTCCTGCAGGCCAGGAAGTATAATAGCAAAAAGTTTAACAAAGATGAGTAAATGTATTACATCACCATTGCCACTGATTTTCTTAATGGTAAATGGCCTTGTGTATAAATGTTGCCATATTATGGTACCTATAGTGGTGATATATTTGTTTCTATGAAAAATGTATTGTGCTTTGAGACTAAAAAATCTGTAAAATGTTACTTTTGGTAATTTTTTTTTGTCTGCTGGTGAATTTATTCTTTTCCTATAAACATATTAAAATGAGTCATGTTTCCAAGTCTTATTTTCAGTTCCCTTTGCATGCTTATTTTAATTTAAAAATCATTATAAGATAAATGAACAAAATTATTGTAAGCCTTTGAAATTGGGTTTACTAACATTAGTATAAATAACATCCATAATAGCAAAAGTCTGCAAAATCAACCTGATTATGTATTTGTATGTGCAAGAGAACACATTATTACAAATATTCTAACAGGAGAGAATTTAAGTAGAATGAGAGAGATGAGTTTTTGAAGTATAAGGAAAGAATCTGAAAGATACAAAGTGATTATAAAGGAATTGACAAGACAACACTTCAAATATTTTTAGCAAGTAAATGAGTAGGAGTTGAGCAGATAAAGGGAGATAAATTACACATTGGGATCAGGAGAGCAAGAAAGCTGGATAATAAAAAAGGAAAAAAGAAAAGGAGAGGGGCTCACATAAATAGAACCAACATTTCATGATCATTTATCAAGGACTGGCAGGAAGGTAAGTGGTCCAAAATAATTGGTAATCAAAAGTTAATGATTTATACCTTAAAATCTTCAAAACCTTAAGCAGATTTTGTGGGGACGTCTTTTCCAAGATACACTACCCACCTTCATCAATAGTGTGACTTTACGCAGGCACATCCTGCAATATCAGGCTGTTCCTTACTGTCTCCCCTAATAGGGAAGCCCCATCAACCCCATCAGTATATGGGTTCTCACATTTGCTCCTAGTTTCCATCCCATCTTCACTTTCCTGCACTATTGCAATGTCAGCTGGAACCTCTGCATCATATCCCTCTCCATTTCTTTTCAATGCTTCTGTATTTCTTTCCCTCTCTGGAATTACTCTCTTCCATGAGTTTCCATTGCTTAAGAAAGCCAACCCCCCTTGTAAAAGCATTTAGGAACCTTCATAGTCTTGTTTGTATGTTTACCTATCTTCTACACAGGTGTGTCCTTGTGTACGTTATTTCACTGCCTATTCTTCAATTACCTCACCATTAAAATGGGACAAATAATATCTCATAGAGATGGATTGCACTAAAAATTGAGACATTACGTGTAATGTACTTAACACACGTAATATAAAATATAAAACACGTAATGTGTATTCAATAAATGTTATTTCCAATTTATCATCATAATCATTTTCGTTTTTATTTACCTTGGGAAACTATGAATATGTCATACTATGCCATTGATCCTTTGGCACTTAACTAAATGTGATATTCTTCAGGAATTTTCCTGCAGTTCTCCTGGTGAGAATTAGATGCTCTCTAATATGATACCCTTTTAATTTGACTATATTAAATATTTAATTTGCTTTGTTTATATATAGTTTTTTAAATTTAAGGATAAACTCTTTGAGAATGGTAATACTCTTTCTTATCCGTCTTTCTACCCAAGAGCACAATTGTCTAAGGGATTTTTACCTTCTTGCACTCTACAAATGGTAGGCCAGTATTGTTAAATGAGTGTTTAAACAGTTTCTAATTTTATTCTTGATAAGTGAATATTTTTGCACATTGTCATAGTGGAAGTTCAACATTAAAGTATTATTGCCAAAGAAAATAATTTATGGATAGATATTTAATATGTAGTCAATACTTAGTATTAACATCATTATTTTAGCTTTTAAAATTTACCCGACCATATATTAATAAATGTTTTTCATATATTAAATATAATTTAGAATTTCAAGCAGAGTATAAAAAAGTCAATTTCTCTCCTAATATTTTAGATAATTTGCATATTACAGCATCCACTTTTCAAGTCAAGTATTTTAAAATCTTGACCGTTTTCTAACATTTCTGACATGTTTTTAAAAGAAATGTAAGGTCTTCTAAATAGCATGGGGAGCTAAGCAAAGAAACAGATCTATCATTTTTGCAAACATACCAAATTTCGGATTTGGAATTTAAGCTAATTTATTGCACAAAGAATGACATTGTTTAGGGTGGTTTAGAAAACTTATCTGAGGTGATATTTCTACCCTGGCACCATAATATTCAGGAGCTGAAGAAATAGTTTAGTGAAATAATCTGATCCTCTTTCATTAATTTGTTGGAATTAAGTCTAAATTGTATCAGTTTGAGATTTCAAAAAGGCAGGCAAACTCTTCAGAATACTGCTGTTATGCTTAGCAATTAGATATTTTCTATTTCCTCTTCTCCCCTAATCCTATGGCACATTGCATGGAATAATCAGAGTGTAAAACAATGCTGATAAGCAAACATTCATGCATGACATCAGTAAGTTGTGGAAACTAATTTTTCAATAATTAATAAAAAAGCATTTCCTAATTAAAACCATAATGAATAATCAATTATGTTTATGACATTGCTGATGAAGATGAAAACCTGAGGAACTATACAAAACCGTGTATCTGATAAACACGGTTTTTAAAAGAAACGTGCAGAAGATGAAGTGGAAATCAGACCACTTATGCTAAAACAATTAAGAATTTTTTTACAAGCGATATGAGAACAGCATGGCTAGGAACAATATAATGAAAAACAATAAATAAACAAGTAATAGCCTCTCCTAAAGCTTTCTGTTTTCTGCTTTCATTCTTGCAAAAAAAAATTGAGTTCCTACAATCTGCTATGAATGGTGCTGATCACTGCCATATGTTTATAAGCAAAAATGCCCTCAGGAAATTATATTCTAGTGAGGTACACATTAGTGAGATAATCACAAAAATAAACATGATTATAAACCATGAAGATTGTAGGACTGCATATCTACAAAGAAAATATTCATAGTACCATGAGAGTATTGAAAAGTTGGACTTGACTTAGGGGGTAGAATAAGGATGACTTTCCTGAGGAATTGACATTAAAGCTTAGATCTTAAGGATGAGTAGGAGTAAGTAGGAAGGAGAATTCCTTGCATAAAACAGAATGTGCAAATATTAATACCTTATTGAAGGAACATTCTAGAAACAACAGTAAAAGAAAGCCAAAAGTCAATGTGTCTTGAGGGCAGAGAACAAGAGATGCTTTACAACATGAGTCTGAACTAGTAAGTGGGGGAATAGAGAAGGCTGGACAACATCTCTAGAGTTAAAATGTACCACTGGTGCTCAAAGAGATGCCCAGATTGAACAAGACTATGACATGACCCAAACAGTATGCACTCAGGTATTCAGAGTTTGAGCAAAGAAGCAAAAGTATTGAATACACTGTATAATATCAACCTGAGAGTTTTATAGCACTTTATAATAAAGTACTTTAATACTCCTGGGTTCTAAAGAATTTGATTCTTATATGATTAATATGTCCGTAAGCAATGGATTTCAGATGATTGAGAGGGGTGAGAGAGGATGACATGTACTGGGTACTAACTGTGTGTTAGAAACACTGCTATACATTTCATACATGTTTTTTGATTCTTAAACATGTGAGAAATATTATTTTCTCATTCTAATATCTTAGAATGCAGATTCTAAAAGGTTAAGCTACACTGTCTTAAGTTTGAGAAATGTAATTCATGTCTCTATCTCTCTAAATCCAAAGCCCATTCTCTTGCTGCTAGATCACCCCTGCTGAACAGCTCCACAGGGACAGAGGATAACTCCACTAGTTTCTTCTACACTATGTTTAGGAATTCAAAATTTTATAATCCTTGAATATGCTATAAATTTGTTAGATGTAGGAAAACCTGTAAAAGAGGAATAGAGATTTAGCTTTCTTTAGAAGTGGCCTATAAAAAGATTAAATAATAATAATAATAAAAAAACATTGGTTCAAGGAACACCAGAAAAGGATGAGATTTGTGTTCCACAGATATTTGAATTAGTAGGCTACTTTTTCAAGATAATAAACTGAATTACTTCGCTTTCCCCAATGTGTAAAAAAGGAAAATAAAGTGAAACAAAAATATTATGCTCATGAAGGCATGGATATCCTGAAAACGGACAGCAGTTGGAATCATATCAATGATGAATTCAGAGCACATGTAGCTGCAGCTCAGGGCTCGTACTGGAGAAGACTGCAGTGGAGGGCAGGGCTTTGCTTTACGGCCCAGCCGTAAACCAAAGTGACTGAAGAATCTGCTTTCTGACTTCCATTCAGGTGGCCTCCTGGACTGCATTCTTTACTCTCTAACTCCTCCTGCCCACATTCCCACAAATGAGTCCAACTCAACACACCACCACACACGCGAACTTTTTAAGTCAGGCCTGTCTCATCTAGGCGGCAGGTACACACAGTAAGACACCTTTGTTCATCAACCCAGTTCTTCAAACATATACATGATTATACAAAAATAATTATCAGACATGAAAGCACAGATAAGCAAATGTCACATCAATTGACACCAGAAGCAGATGTTTCAGAGAAAAGTAGAGCACCTGTAAAAACATTATTATTAATACCCTCAGGGGGAGTTTAGAAGGCAGTATACCCATTAAACAAGAAAAGGCTAGTATGGAAAAGAAACAAATGGAGAACAAGAAAAGTAGCAAATTTTGGAAGAGTCTTAAAAGTAATTAAGACTCAGCTATTGAACTCTGGGAATTGAGAATGAGGACACACTTGGAATTTGTGACATGGATTAAAAGAAATTTTAGGAGAGGCATAGAAGTGGAAAACATACAGAGAAATTTCTTATTAAAGATAAAAATATAAAATGTATATAGATAGCCACATACATGATAATATTAGATAGTCTCAATAATCATGCAAAGTTAGTCATAAACTATGACATAATGTTGAATATCTAGTGAGAAATTTTATTTCTGTATCAGCTTTACCTCTAGTTGGATAATGCCATACAAGTTTTATTAAACTTCTCTTAGACATAGTTCACTCATATGTAATACTGGAATTATAATAATTTCCTCACAAGGTTGTTATGATAATTAAATTAAATGAAAGAACATAGATGAAATTGCCTTGCACTTGCTGAACACAAATTTAATGACAGCTACATATAAAGCATTTCTGTATCTCCCAAAATTTTCTGGTGCGTATTCTCAATCTCACAAATGCCCACAGGTTCAGGCAAACATTGTTGTACTTTTTGT